TTTCAGGGAGAACTTAGAGTTGGGCTGACTACAGTTCATTATGTACAGTAGCTGCCTTACAGTAATAACAAATATGCAGAGTAATGCAAATTGAAATACACAAACAAGGGTGGTATTTTTAGATCAACTGATCTTCACTGAATCAACTGTAACTCAATGTGTAATTATGTACACAGCAGTTCTTAGATGAGACAACAAAGAGTGAATGATAAAATATATTTACATCGGTTTGTGATTAATAGGACTTTTTACCAAATTCAAGGAGCATCCAAAATCAACACAATTTATTTAGGTGTTTCTTAGGTGTGCCAAGGATTAAAATGGCAATGTAAAATACTTGACATTACAATTAATTATTTTCATTCAGACTGTCTGATGTGAAGTTGGGGTCATAGGAGTTTGAACAAAATATATTTTGAGTTTTAAACAAAGGTAAACTATAATGAATACATTTCATTACATACTGTATTTAATTGGTAAGAGGTAGAACAAAACTGAACAATAGTACTAGCAATGACAGTGTAATTAACTACCAACTAGCATTGGATTAAAATGGTTTTCCATATTCAGTAGTAATAGCCACTAGGCCAATTGTGCACGCCTGTCAGTTGCCCCTGTAATCCTGGCTCGGACCGCAAGTGGGCGGAGCTACAACTCCTGCTCACTGCCACCCTCCAGACAAAGGCAGCAGCGTGACTGTGTTTCCATGACACTTTTCCCACTGTATTCTCACATATGCACTGGCCCACGCGGGGGTAGTAAAACTAGAGGAACAAGTCTATTAATAGATTCTAATCAGCGCTAATCACAACACAAACCAGCCAACACCAACCACATGAATAACCCCAATTATTCAATTTGTGGCCCTTAATCATAGGAAACATTTGGCCTAGCATACGGAGAGTGCTGTGAAAGGTCTGCAAGCTTAACCAAAAAATGTGATCTTAAGAAAGCTTATAGACACAACTGCTTATAATAAATGAGACCTCTGCCATAGTCAGTGGTCCTATATATGTCACAGAGGTAAAGATTGCATAGGTTCTCGATTGAAACTTAAAATTAGATATTCAATACAGATTTCTTCTGGATAAATAGGGCATTTCCTTACTACTTATTGCTGTATCAGAATTAGTACAAGGCCACATGGGAATATTAAACGCAATTATACTACAACTACTACTTTAGTGTGTAAACTTATATTAGATTCATTACTGTGTTATGAAATGACTACTAACTTACTAACTAACTTAACTATACATTACTATTACAGCAAATCAATGTAGAGTAATTTTTACATCCCACTTGGTGTTAGATCAAGCTGACACACTTTCTGCACCTTCCTCCTCTGCTCCTGCCTCAGTTGTGTCCTACTGAACCAACTTGAAGGTCATATACGGATGTGGTACACTCTTGGGCTTTGTGACAAACTATCCCACCTGCTCAAAACACACAAAATACACACAAACAAACACACATTCTACACACAGTGATTTTGCCGCTCCATTGATCGCTGTCCAGCCTTTGCAGAGGTCAGATTTAATGAATCAATCACACATGCATCAGCAGCACCCACAACAGCAGTCACAGCAAAAGCCAAGGCCAACACCCCCAGTGCCCCACGATGCCCGGTCCAACCTTTACTTTAACACAGGAGAGATTAGCAAAATGGACTGGTCTGGAGATTGGCTAGGGGTAAGACTCAAATTCACTTACAAACTTTTTTATTCATTCATTTTTTTAGTTATTTTTTTAGATTCTAGATATGAATTCTGCAAAATGTTTACTACCTCAGTAAATTAAGACCACACTGCCTTATAAGGTTCAAGAGGAAAAAGTACCAATTCATCTCTGACTACCATTACTACTTTTATTACAATGGAGATTAAAACTGGGCATTGGCCGTGGTATCCATTTTGAGGCCACATATTTCCTTGTTTTACGTCTACTCTTTCCTGTAACAAACACTGCTTGAGACTTTTGCTGTTGCGTTTTGTTTTCTCCATGAGTATAAAAACAAAGGATTCTCCACCTCCATCTGCAGTAGCCTATGCACTGTCTGTCTGTAGTGGTGGGCAGGGCAATATTGACAAAAATAAATGCCTACTATTATCATTCCATTATTATTTTTTTACATTTGCAATCCATCAGAAATAGACAGATGCATTTCTACTATTAATGTAGTTTTAATCACAATCACTTAATTGACTTAACATTCAATGATGAAAGATAGAAGAATATATTTTGGGGCTCAGTATTTCTCATGGGGACTAGTTCTTTGTAAAAATGGGGAGATCTGGGGTATTTTTGTTGTAACATAATAAGATTTGAGCTGTACAGGGTTGAAAAAGTTGATTATTGCTTCATTCTGCTATTTATCTGTTGAAGCTCATGCCACTTAATGATACTATCTGTTTAAAAAATCTGTGACACAAGATCCAGTATTAATTGTTTATCATAGTATATCTCTGTAGCAATATATTGAGCTTAAGTTTGTAATCGTGACAGGTCCACAACCACTAGATGTAGCCTAGATCAAAACTTTATCCAAAAACTATATGTTTGAAATCACAGTTGCACGCACAGACGACCTTAATCTGCCTCACCACCAGACACCAATCAATGTGGCCAAGAGACAGCCCTGATGCCCTTTATGTTCTCCTCTCATGTCTCTATTTGATCCGCACCTCCTTCCTGTCCTTTCCGCTTCTGTCTGTCCCCTTAGCAGCGCGAAAGGTGAGGCAGAGGACATGTGACAGCCTGCACAAGCCACTAATGGGTCTTTGTGCGCAAGAAGTGGAAACGTGATCCTTCTCGCGCCAACCTGAAAAACTGTGTAAACAAGTTGGGACAAAATGGCTGCATCTTCAAGAAATTTTGAGTAATAATGATAAGTCAAATGAATTAAATTAGTGCGTAAACATACCAAGCTACTGTAAAAAGTACGGTTAACTTTACAAGGGTTTTATCGTCTTATTGGTCACCTTTGAGTGCAGTGGATCATGCTGAGTTCACGTCTAAGCCTACATAATCTATGTCCAAATCATTAGCATTTCCCATTGAGACTTGACCCACAGCATCAATCACACTGCAACCTGCTCTCCGTCCGCCTTACATCACTCTCCACCTGCAAACTGAGGTTAATTCAACGCTTTAAAGCTTATTGTCCCTCACGAAAAAAAAAGCACATTTTATTTTGCACAAAATTGTAGCAACGTGGGAAAGCGTCAACAACAACAAGGCACGCGTCTGACAAAAACGCCAATGCTAAATGTAATATTATATGCGCACTAACAACAAAATGCCAGAGTTTGCAATTATTAAATCTTAATAATAATAATTTAAAAAAGCATGGTAAAGTATGACGCACCTATGGCGTTTGCAGGCGCTGATTCACAGGTTCACTGTCGGTCAAACGCAGCGTGCGTCTCCACAGCACACGGCTCTGGCGGTGGCTGTGGCCGTGGTGAGAGGGATAAGACGCGGGAGAGGAGAGAGAGGAGAGCTGCTGCGGACACAAGGAGGGAGAGGGAGAGGAGAGAGAGATGCTGCGGACAGAAGGAGGGAGAGGGAGGGAGGAGTGATGCTGATGGTGCAGCCGACACCTGGCAGGCTTCCTCAGGAAACAGAACAAGCGGCAGGAGGTGAAGATACAAGAGTTGCAGCTCCCTCTAGTGACTGATTTTGGACGTTTTGGTAACACTTAACTGCATTTCAAAGGTGTCACCTGCAGGATTCCGTGGAAATAGAATCCTGCAAACATAATTTTGAACATTCTCCATTGAGATTGTTTTACTTTTTCTGCAGTTCCATGGAAACAAGCAGGAGGCCCTCTGTCAGGCCAAATGAAAGCCAGGTTTATCTGCGCAATTAAAACATCCATAATGACAAAATATGCTTTTATTTTAGTCTAGAAAGTTACATACTGTGGCTTATTTACATATCCCAAATAATGTTTGAATAAAGACTGTTCATTCACAACATTTGATAAAGGTGAACTCTCCATCTCACGGTTATGTGTTTTTTGTTTTGTTTTTTTGTTTTGTTTTTTGTTTTTTTTGTCTAATTACAAGTCCCTAATTCTCATGTTTAGTGAGATATGCTTCATCTTTGACATGGGAATTGTCAAGGACCAACAAATGCTCATTCTACTGTCCCCAGAGACACCAGCTGTACTCATTGTTATATTTGCTCCAGACAATTCAAGCAAAATTTGAAATCTGAATTTCCTCAATGTAGAGCTTCTTCCCACTCAAAATGAGAGTAGACGGCAAAGCGTCATCTTCACAAAGAGACCAGCCCTTTGCCTGTGCTCCAAAGGGCTTTTATTCAGACATTTTAGGAAGTAGGCTGAAATAGTGAGAAGTTAAGAATGATTCAGGCTTAGTAACTAACTACTTAGTGATTAGTTCAAATCCTAATCTCTAAATTCTTACTTAAAGAATAATTCTTAATAAGACTTGTTCAGTCTGGATAAAGTCTTTCTTCATGCTTTATGTATCATTAACTAAATAACCACTGGAGATTATATAATAGTGCCTTTCAAGACACACAAAGGGGTTTACAGTGCATCATTCTTTCTCTCCACACTGGGCTTTAGTAAGATACTTATGTAGCCACAGCCGCCCTGGGGTAGACTGACAGAAGCAAGGCTGCCAATCTGCACCATTGGCTCACCTAACCACCACCAACATGTATACACACACATTCATACCAGACAATGTGTGTGAAGTGTCTTGCCTAAGGACACAACAACATTTTCGCCCCTGGCACCACTCTGTGGTACCTGATATTCCCAGCACTCTCGCATCCAAGTACTAAGGTCTGGCCTTGCTTAGCCTCTGCAATCTGAAGAAATCAGGTTTTGACAAGCCACAATGGCCAAGCTTTTGCTTTGCATTTTTTTAGCCAAAGAAAAATAATACTGAAATTCTTATTCTAAAATTGAGCAACAAATCATAATTATGAGCACAAATATGACATAATGCATAGTCTTGGGTGGTTATTCCATCTTGACTTTTATTATTAATATACATCACCTGTTTTATTCATTTCAGATGTAAACACAAAAAAGGACAAACCATTATACTGTTATCTGAATTGCCCAGGGTTCACTGTAAAACATACAGTATACATAACAGCCTCTGTACTACACTTATTAATGTAGTTTTTTGTACTGAAAAATAACAACCTAATATTACTTGTTTTTGTCACAGTCACACCACTTGCAACTTTTCTCCAAATATTCCTGTACAACAATAATTAATGACAAAGAAATGCACAGGCAACAGTTTTCCTCCCTGAGAAGAAAATGATCAGGAAAGCAAATGTACAATATAAGCAAGTTTTCAATAAGGCACATATACAGCGAGGCTAATTAAGCAAACAGACACTGCATAAGGCACTTGCTAATTTACAAATAATTTACCCCAAGAAATATAAACAGTATCTACATGTTTTATATGATACATTCCCTTATTTCACATTACATTTGTTTTGTTTGTTTTGATTTTTAAATGTGTTCTAAATTATATGTAGTAAAGAGGTTTATGTTGACCCTTTTGAAACTACTTAGTCATCATGTAATCACTATTCCTCCTTGAAAACAAGTTGCTGCTTCCCAAGGAGCTTTCCAACAATAAATTCACATTATAATTGACAAATAACTCTTCAAAAGCACATGGCCAAAGACAACCAAATTGTAAAAAAAAAACAACATAGCAAAGAGACACAAGCCAGAACTGTAAGAAGTCTTTAACTAGCTGTGTTTTACATATTAAGACATTCAATTCAGAATATTAAAGAATTATTTCTGGATATTATACTCAAACATCTTACAAGATAAGTTTTAATATTGATAATATATTATAGATTGCTTTGACAATAAAAATGTCAATTATTAAAGTCATCATGACTGCCAAGTCTAAATGTTAACTGTCACGAAGGTTATTTATACTACATTTTAGATTAGACATATAGAGGCTAACCCTGCAGCTCCACGGCATTTTCCCAAACGCAGTGGACAGTGTGACCTGGGCTGGGGTCAGGGTAACCACAACCCCTCTGACAGCTGTGGAGTGTCGCAGTAGATTGTGCAATTGATCAAGACGATTAAAGCAGCATTTCAACATATCGGCTTACATATGATTTGGCACATGTTCAACTTTTCCCTTTAGGTACCAATCCATAGTATAGGGAGGATTATGCAATAATGATATGTTGATCAGATAAGGGAAAATATGATCTCCCATAAAACTCCATCACACCTAACAACAGACTTGTCCCCATTTTGTAATGCGGGTAATGCCCCCTGATTCAGAAGGAGAAGGAAACTTCTAGGCTCTAACGTCAGAAATTTGTAACAAGGGGACAAACAAGGATTCCATGGCAGGTAAAGGTGAATGAACCTTTATTAACCTATCACATATTGGGCCCTATTTGATTCATTTTTTTTCTTTTTTTTTCATATTCTCAGTCCTCATCTTCCAAAGCGTCTGTGCTATTGTGAAGGAAAGCTTGTTTTTCTCGAGTCATTGAGTCCAGTTCATGATCAGGCTTAAGACTGTGCATCTCAGCATCAGGAGAAGAGCGGTTTGTTGCAGCTTCAGCACTATGGTGGATGCCATAGCAGAAGTAAATGACCATTCCTTCAACAGAGAAACAGAAAAATGCCACATTATGATTCAGAAAGCTACACATAGCAATATAATCACGCTCACCTATAGTCATCCAGATAGAAAAACGTATCCAGGTGCCAGAGTCCAACTGCATCATCAAGTAGACATTAACAAACATGCTAATAACAGGAATAAAAGGTAAGAACGGAACCTGAGAAGGAAAACAAGAGACAACTAAGACAACTATCAACCTTAAGGGAACAAACTGAATGAAATATAGAAGCAAAAGATAGAAACCTTGAAAGAGAGTTTGGTCTTGCTCTCCGGCTGCCTCCAGATGACAAAGACCAACAGCAAACACACAATGAAGATGAGGCTGAGGACAGCCAGGTTCCACAGAGCAGTGCCACCCTGCACCGCCAGGACACTGAAGGCCAGGATCAGCACCCCTGACAGAGGACAACATAATGTCACAAACATAATTTCCTGGTTTATATGTATATTATCGCGTGTGAATAAACCTTTACCTAACAGTGACGCACTAACGTTGACAATGTATCCAGACAGTGCAGACGGCTCTGGGTTGTCTGGGAACATAACGCTTCTGAAGCTGAGCCTCTCCTCCATCCCTGGGAGCATGCCCATGCTGGGGATACTGATGCCGTCTATGAGATCCATGTCCTCGTGAGTGTTGGCCATCTCATAGGCCACAGCAGGCTGCTCGGGTTGATACCTGACACACAGAAAATACACATGTATAACTTGGATCTGATACAATAAATAATATAACAGTACACACAATTTACAGGCAAAATATTAAAACTGTATTTAGTGTATATCCTGTGATTATTAAGTTTCAGTGCAGATACTAAAATATTAACTTAACTTAACTTAATACTAACTTAACAGCTAGACAATAAAAGATACATGTTTTTAGTTGATTCACCACTATCACAGGGAATAGTGGCTTTGTGACACATTGGGCCATTTGAAACAGGCCTGCTTTCAGAAACAACAGCTTTAAACATAAACAAAGAGTTGTGTCTAAAACAGAAAGAGATAATGATCATGCTGCTGCTAGAAAAACTCAGGTCACCTTAAAAAGGAAACTGTGTATTTGTAACTGAAAGTCAACCACCATATTCTGTACCAATGTGGGCACACTGACCTCAGCACCAGGACACAGGCAGCCACCAGAGTGTAGGCCAGCAGTGTGCCTATGGACATGAGATCCACCAAGTCCTTCAGGTCAAACAGGAAAGCCATGATCGCTAGGGAACAAACAATAGATATTTAAAGGACACTTAGGATGACCACAAGGTCATAAGACTGTTTTAGACAGTGGCTTGTTTTGGCCCTGGGCTGTTCAAATTGCAAATAAATAGTTTAAAGTTTCCACATTCTCTCACAGGCATGTACTAGTATGTTTTAACACAAATAGTCTTTTGTGCATGCAGGTTAAACCAGGAAGTGCCTGTAGCCCTTTTAACCTAAACCTCCCTCTCTGTGTGCACTTCCTCTTTAAAGTTGGACATGCATTTCTTGTCTTACCAGACATGACACCAGCGGCAACAGTGGAGGTAATGGGGGCTTTCCTCTCGCTGATGTGGGCCAGGAAGGAGAAGAGCAGACCATCCCGTGCCATCGCAAAGATTATACGGGGCAAGGGGAACATGGAACCCAACAGACTGAGGGAGTATGTGGATCAAGTGTCAAATTGGGGCAACAGTAGAGAGCAGTAGTGTTGGACAAAGGCATTCAGTTTGACAATTGAGTTTATATTTAGAAAGTATGATGCCAAACAGAAAAGTTGTGGGTTTCAGTGGAACATGCATATTGTTTTTCATGCCATTATTGCTGTTTAGTATTGATAGTATTTCCCACAAATCAGAAAGTCTATGAGTTAATGATAAGGCAACATAACCCAAAATAGGCATACATGGTTAAATTACGTTAATAATGTAATATAATAATGGGAAAATAATTGTATTTATTACAGCTCCATTCTCAAGCACAGATCTCTCCTATTGGTCAGCCTCTGTTATGACCTCTCCAGACAGAACCACACACTTGTAAAAAACTTTAAAAAGACGAGTGGATTCTGTCTCCCTAATTTCAGAGGGTATGATTGACAGGTGGATTAACCAGTCAGAGAGACACATGATCTGTGCAGGTCAAAAACAACCATGGCGGCTTACACATAAAAAATAAATCTACAAAATAAATCTACATAAAGGATTGAGAAACAGTGCGGCTTTTAATGGAATCAACAAAGCACCAAACTATTACTTATCTCAGGTAAATCAAGTTATATATTTAGTTTTAAACAGAATTTTCGAGAGGAGATGTCTTCCGCGTTTGAAGGACACATTATTCAATTCAGCAGCTGTGGTTGGATTGTCTCAAGTTTTCATGCTCTATGGTCTGGTTCTAGACCCTTCTAAACTTGAACAGAATGTAAAAGGAACTGGCTGGTCAGACAACCTCTGCTATGAACTAGAGGTGAGATCAGGCCTAAAAAATCCAGCCCGACCCGACCCGGCCCGCGGGTATTAAAACCCGACCCGGCCCGAGCCCGACCAATTAACTTGATTTGCAGGCCCGAGCCCGAAGCAAACCCGAAATGTCATATTTTATTTGTGACTCGGGAGGAGGAGTAGTGCTCAGTGTCGAGGTGCCAGTCTTGGTATGAAAGCAAAGCGCCACATTGACGACATTCAGCGAAGCCAACGCAAGTTTCTGTAGCATTTTCAACAATCAATTTGAAGCTTTTCCACACCTCACTCTTACCGGTGCGTGTTTGTCTTTTCAGTTCTCCTGCCTTTAGTTTAACTTCTTGCTCCTCCATATTGGGGATACCAGGTCAAAATAGATGCAGACTTGCGGAGGGGAAGATTATTAAATTAAGAGGGGGCGTTCACGTGCGCAGAGCTCTGGCTCTGCGGATCCTGTTTAGTAGTTAAATAGCAATTACATTACATTACTTCTCTGTTTTATCCATATTATTTATTTTATAACAAGTATTCCTTAGTTTAGTATCCACACATCGTTTTAGCATACATTTTATAAACATATATTTATTTGAAGCCCGAGCCCAACCCGACCCGAAGTAATGATCGACATTTAGGCCCGACCCGACCCGAAATCGGGCTTGGGCTCGGTCTTAAGATCTTACCTCTACTATGAACTAAGTGATTTCCAAGTGGATTTAACTAATCACAGTAAAGTGTGAACTGTCTGAAGAAGCAGATGCCCTTAGTTACCCTAAAGGCAATATTAGATAACTATTGGAAATTATGCTCTGGGTCCCCAAAAAGTTTGATAAATTTTTTTACCTATTGTCAACCAAAGTCCTGCATCGGGTCAGTACATGACAGGTACAGGCAAATAGTTTTAACGTTCTGGAATTTTACGGGGGGGGGGGCTTTATGCGGGTGGGTAGTGATTACACACTAGCGGGTCAGGAATATATCAGGACTAAACCAGGACTACACCAGAACTAATCTTGGACTTGAGAGAGAGAGAGATCCGGGCAATGGCAGCAACTACCTCTGTGCGCGTGGAGATCTGCTCCGGTCCCTTCGCCTGCGGTCACCTGACAGTCTACGCGGGCGCACCTCTGAGCCAGTCCTGACAGTGAGCCCTGGTTCCGTTCTGGTTTAGTCCTGGTTTAGTCCTGTTTTACTCCTAGTTCAGCCCTGGGTTAGTCCTGGGTCAGTCTGGGTCAGTCCTGGTTTAGTCCTGGTTCAGTCTGTGGCATGTGCAGCGCAAAATTCCGGCATCTCAATCCGTGTTTCTTCTGCTCAGTAAATAAAGCCTGTGAAGTGATGACAGTTGAGTCGTGTCTGTGAATTCATATTCGTAATGAAGAAAGCGGAACCGTTTCAAGTCGTAACTTTTCATTTCATATTCTGATGGATGCTTCAGTTAGGGTAACGGGTGGAATGTTAACGGATATGGGTGGGTGCGCGTTTAACATTGATAAAATCGCGGGTTTACAGGCGGGTGTGGTGCTGTACTGCACAGGTGCGGGCAGGTGCAAGTCTCCAAAAAAGGACCCGTGCAGGATTTGGTTGTCATCCCCTTCTGTGTGTAATCCTGCATCTGGTCATGTCTGTCATGTGTGTTTTACTATTTGTAAAACCGCAGGAGTTTGTAAGGCAGCACATGCAAAGCAGTGGCTCTGTTAGACATGCGTGTTAGTCTCACCTGCCCCTGCGCCTGAGGTCAGGGTGGCAGTTATTGGGATTTTGGTGCGGGGGCTGATGAACGCCATGAACTTGAATAGCAGCCCATCCTCAGCCATAGCCCAGAGCACTCGAGGCATGGGGAACATAGCACCTATCAGGCTAGCAGAGGAATTAGTCAAACATACAAGATGCACATTTAATTTATCTACAGCACTGAACAAAAGACTCACAACGACAAAGACAAATATATATACTTTATGTATGTAATTATTGATTTAACATTTTTGAACCTTCTTGATTATTTGCAAACATGATTGTTTAAACATGACCATGTGCTCATTTTGCCCAGTGGTGTACATAAAAACAGTAGTAGGTTTTACTATGATGAAATTAGTTGTAGAGCAGGGTGAGTCAGGGTAGTTGTGTGTAAACTTACCTTGTAGACAAAGCACAGAGTGAACCAACAGCTACAGCGTATTTGGCCCCTCCCCATCCCACGTAGTTGAAGGCTACAGGCAGAGGGCTGTTGGGGTCCAGCAGGTAGTACGGCATCATCATAGTGAGAGCAGCAGAGACCCCAAAGTAGGCCACAAAACAGATCAGTAAAGATGAGACAATACCAATGGGGATGGCCCGCTGGGGGTTCTTCACCTCCTCACCTGTAGAGGCAGATTACGTGTTACTACATAGACTGCTAAAAGTCACAGAACATTTTCACAGTATACACTACTAGTTAATATCTTACAACAACTGACTTTTTTCTTTTTTAGGTAAATCCAAGAGGTAAACATGTTAAAAGTCCAATACAGCTCTGACTGTTAACCACTGTAATGCTAATTTATTCTTAATTATAAAAAATTATATATATATATATAATATTGATGTCCATGTTGAATATGTATGTTATTGTTTGTTTGTTTTTTGTTGTGTTTTGTTTTAGTTTTCAAACCTGTGGGCTGAAACCTTATAAGGACTCTGATCTGAATGGTCACTACCTAAACCCCAGCACCTGCAGGGAATGAGCTACATGATACATGGCCTGTCCATACACTAAAAACACAAAAACTATTATGTCCTCTATGCAGGTTTAGGCACTGACAACCCATGATCAGTTGTAATTTATTTATTTTTTAAGAGTGCAGGTGACGTGCAATTAATTTAATTCTAGTATATTAAAATAGGGTGTCAAAGTGTAGTTGTTTAGTTGAAAATCCTCTCGCTGCCACATTATCAGTCAGTGTTTTGGCATTCTTCCAATAGTTCTGAAAAAAACAGATGCATTTTAGGAACATTCTGCACGGTGTATTTGCAGCAGTTAGGACAAGGAGCTTATTTTTCCCAAAGCCATTCAGCTGCAGGTCATTACGCAACTGCTCCACTTAAACCAACACTCCAGTCTTGTACTAAGATGATGGAGTGTGTAAGCATTTCTGTTTTTCCTCAGAATGCTCATTTATTACACATGACAGGTACTCTGTTTGTGTGCAGCCATTGTAAGCACCGTAGCCTGTGTATATGTACTAGTACGTCACCCAGCTACATGTGCATATGATATAATTACTATGGGCTGTTTTGGTTAGTGTGACAGATCTGCCCCCACTCAAGCTGAAGCAATCATTTCCAGTGAGTGTCAGGTTAACCAATCAGACTGCAGGGAAAATGGGGAGGTGAATACCAAGGGTATAGCCAAAAGTCAAGCTGGAAACAATCAGAGAAATCACTTCTTTAAATGCACTGACGAGTCATTCACAGGTGTAAGTTACAGTGGGGTAGACAAAAACTGCAGCACTACTCACTGCTTTATATACAGCAAAACTCCCCAGGGACTTGTCCGTTTATCATGACCAGTGAAAGATTTAGGCCAAATGTATGATTTTCTTTTTTTTCTATCTTATGTAATACTCCAAGATGTTGAGGCATGCTTAGGATATGACAAGTTTAAAAGATCCAGTTACACCTCTCCCTACCCCCAGGGCCCACTCAAGTCAGGGGTTCTACTGTAAGGAGAGAAAGCTACTAGAGCACCAGACTAGAGCACACTTCTACACACTGGCCTGTGGTGGCGATGCAGTCGAATCCAACAAAAGCATAGAAGCAAGTGGCAGCTCCAGACAGGACCCCAGTAAAGCCAAATGGCATGAAGCCCCCAACTCCCAACTGTTCTTTGGTCGGCAAACCATTTGTCAAACTGCAAAAGAAATGTAAACAAAAGTGAACTCAATCAGACAACTCTTAATGAACAGACAGTTTATTAAGAATGATGCAAATTATGATGGTGAAAATAATATTTTTAAGTATTTTTATGTTTAAGTATAGGGCCTTTTTTTTTTTTAATGGGAGAGGAAAATTATTTTAAAAAAAAAAAGGGAAGAAAAAGAGAAAAAAGGAATTTCAGTTATGAATTGGCCGCCGTGTGTCAATGTAAGGGGGCCTAGCGGTATGTTTATGTGTTGCTTTAGTTTCTGTCCTTTGTTTTATGCTAATTATTGTAATAGTTAAATGTTGACTGTTGTATTTTTTAAATGTTATATTCTGTAGTCCTTAATAATAATGATAAAAAAAGAATGATACATACACATGGTTTAGTAACTATTTATTTAAGGGCTAGGGGTTAGGAGTTAGGGTTAGTTAGTGTAATAATGATTACTAAGCCTGAACTATTTGTTCATTATGATTTGGGTCTTTGGTCATGGTTTAATAAGGCTATTAAAATTGTTAACTTATCAAGTAATAAAAAATGGGAATAAATGTCACATTTACAGTTACTAAACAAATCACTGACTACATGTGGAAGTCACACAAATAGGATAAAATTAGATTTTAAGGATATGAAATGTTTTTGCTTGGCATGTGCTTACTTGAAGCTGGAGTTACTTGTGTAGTTGTCATTGAGTATCTGTTCAGGGTCTAGTTGCCAGTTCTTCAAAGTGCCTTTGACTAGTCCAGAGATCACCATGAACAACAGCACCAGAATGTTAACGCATGTGAACACCTTATTCACCATCGCTGACTCTTTAACTCCAAAGGCCAGTAACCCTGGAAGAGAATTATATGGTAAGATGTGAAAAACAACAAAAATTTGTAATAAATGAATAATATAAAAAGACAATTTCATTAGGAGTTGATAAACTGACATTGACTAAAATGAGTCATATTACTAATTGTTTGATACACACAACATTTTATATACTACATTACTATTGTATACAAAAAATTATATATCCTTCATACCTGTAAGTGTGATTATGATGATAACAGCAAACAAGTCAGGGTACTTTGCTAACACACCAGGAGCATTCATGGACATGTATGTGGAGCAGAAGTGCTCGATTCTCTTCCCTATCAATTCGTCAAAGGTAGCGCTCCATGCACGGGCCACACTGGAGGTGCCTTTAACACACAACATATATTTTATGAATAAGAAGATATAAATTGTGAGACCATAGAAATGATAACATGTTTAGCATTACCAATAATATAGGAGAGTATGAGGTTCCAGCCTGTGATGAAGGCCCATAGTTCACCCACTGTCACATATGAGTACAGATACGCCGAGCCTGTTTTAGGAACCCGAGCACCAAACTCAGCATAGCACAGACCGGCTAATACTGAAGCTAAAGCTGCTATCAAGAAAGACAGCACAATCGCAGGTCCTGAAAATTAGAGAAGCTAAATGTTAGAGACATTTACATTATCAGCCACTACATTATGACCACTGATTGTTTTTAATCTGTCTTACTAGACATACAACATGAGATACTGAATTTTATGAGTAAAATAACAAGGAAAGAGCATCTAAATGAACTGTCAGATTTCAGTCTGCATCCAGTTTGCAGTGGTCACTCTATTAAAAGGAGTCCTACAAATAAAATATGTTGAACCAGCAACAGTTGGTCCATAAAGAAATGTGAGCTGAAAAAATATGTGACTACAAAGTCTTTTACATCATTACATGCCATGAGTGCCATTACAAGACAAGGCAGGTGATCTGGTCATAAGGTCATGAATGAGAAGAGAATATTTGACAAAATCAAATAATAGAATTAAAACTTCATTGAACATACCTGAGTTTTGCCTGGCTACAGCTCCAGCTAACACATAGACTCCTGCTCCCAAAGTACTGCCCACGCCCAGGGCCACCAGGTCGAATGTGTTGAGACATCGGGACAGTCGGGACTCCTCCGCGTTACAGTTCACCACCTTCACCCTCAGAAGCTGCTTCCCAAAATGCACAATCTTTTCCAGCGCCATCAGTGACAATGAGGCCGCGGGGACGGGAGGGGAGGGGCCAGAGGGGGTATCGGCCTGGGTTCAGAGTTCAGAAGTCACAGGGGAAAGGTTACACACTCCTCTCTCTAGAAGAGACAAAATAAGAAGACTTGTGATGGTTGCTAATAATAACAAAATGTTGTACATGGTACATGAATGAAGCCACAGTTGTTTTGTATGCTGTTGTCTTTTTAACAGATGAAAGATAGGTCATTGATCCAAGCAAGGTAATTTAAATATATCACAAATAAATAATAAATATTCTACATAGTTTGGAATATATTTATAATTTGATAATGCCCAATGAACTTTCTGTTTGGTACCCCAACAACGCAATGACACAGTGTTTTTTTTGTTTTGTTTTGTTTTTTCCAACTTCCAGCAAGTTGTATTAATCAAAAATAGTATTAGTCAAAAAGTCATTTTTCTCAGTTCTAAATCTGAGCTTTGCAATGCAACAAGTAAACAGTAGCGTAAAATAAAAAGTTAAAAAAGTAAAATTTTGTGCTAAGAAAAAAGGGTCATACAAAACCACTTATGTAACATCAATTCAGCTGGACAAAAAACTGGGGGTCCATTCAAATGCATTAGTGTTGCTGACACATGTTACATAACAGACACAGAGGAGACATGGAAAAGCCCCCGAACAAGGGCCACAACAGAAGAACATCTGGAACAAGCTTACACTTACAATAGGGCAGTTTAAATGGAACAGTCTATAGTTTACTTTAACCAAACACATTCAGACACAATGCAAAAAATCTACAGCACTATATGCAAGTATGGAGAGGATCTTTCTCTGTCAGTCAAACATCCCATGCACATTCCTGCGAAGTGAGATCATTGTCAAGATTATACCATCGTCTAAGAGCAGAATACACACAGACACTGGACAGAGCATTAGAAGGAAGTATAAACTAGTTAAGTGACAAGTGAAGTGTTCAATAAAGCTTAAGAGGGGAGAATGACATGCTCTAGTGTTTTTGGCACAGTGACTAGAATAATGGCCAGTCTCCAGAATCCAAACATGAGGACATGAACTCCCAATGCTCATGTGGTCAAACTAAGTAAGGAGATCTGACATGTGAAGTGTTTTGAAAATTTACCAATAGAAATTACTTGTCCTTCTTAGTATAAGGTAATAAAAAGGTTATAAATCCAGAGTAATAAAATGGAATAAGCCTAATAATAGTTTAACATATCCTTTTTTGTCATTTCCCTAATACCATCTGCAAATGTCTTTATGCAGCGATAACATGCAAGCACAGTCCACAGACCATGTACAGTAGAACTAGAGTCAGTGGCTCACGAACTGCTTGACCTCTTTTTGACTTGAGTGAGTTATGCAACTGCAAGTCAATATAGTTTTCAAATAATGACAGATGAAACCTACAAGAATATGGGCCAGCCTACAAAAATAACCAACGGAGGCTAAAACAAGAAGTAAATCACATGTAGGTGTTAAATGTTATACTGTAATAGTGTGTAATGGTCCATGAGGGAAACCACTATCAAAGAAACCCTGCATTCACAGTAGTGACAAAGTAATCCATTCTAATACACAGAAGCACTTCACCTGTTGCACTCATAAAGCATTGACACACACACACAGTGGGATTGCATATGACTTAGCTATACTCATGTTTGATGGCTGTGGCAGGGAAATACAATCTGCCTCAATCACATGGGCGGGCTATTCCCAGAACCTTTCACTTCGACTGCAGACACACATATGCACACAGGGAAGCATGGGAACAATTTAGCAGTTATGACACCAATGGAAATTTGAATAATTGTAACTTAATACAGACAAGCTCTTCTATAGCTCCCGCTGCATGCTGACAACCCACTGACCTACTTCGCCCTTGATGTAAATAAACGCATTGTTGGGCCATGTATGGCTGCTGCAACTTATTATTACTGCACAACTGATGTTCTTGGCAGACTGCATGGAGTACTTCACCAAAGGCGGAGTCAAGTTTGGCCAATTCTGAGTGCATAAGAAAAAGAGGTGTGTCTTAATCAACCAATCAGCAGGAGAATGGAGAGGCTTTGACATTTAAAGACTGCCAACTAATATCCCCTTTTTCATTTGTGCAATTTCGTACAATTGCAGTATTCATTCACTCCCAAATTACAATTACGGTAAGCTATTTTTCTAGCCAAAGCTGCCCTGAGGCACACTAGCAGCATCATGGCTGCCATTCTCTACCAAACTCCATCAGTCACACACTCACACAAGTTTGAAGTAAACCCTCTCTTTTTTCTAAGAAAAGTCTAATTACTGTTGAGTTTGATTAGTTTATAAGTACTCTAACCACCTTCTCCTTCTGCCACTTTCAATTTTTTTTGTGGAAGCCTACTCATTAGGTTCACTTGTTATCTTCAGCACTTAAAAGAATTCATCTTTTTCTTGATCTGACCTCATAGCCTCAGGTAGCATGAGTCCTTGGTTGTTTCTTAAGTTTGGTTTTTATGTACACCAACCTAATTGCAGGCTGTCATTTTATGTCTTTAACTGGCGTGGATTGTATTGCAGTTATCCAAGTTCTTGAAGGTGTATTCTCTTCCTCCAGTTTCACAGCCATCTTCTCATCCTCCACCAGGTTACAATAACCAGCATTAATCTTGAACAGATCTGTCAGGTTGGTGCTTAATATCTAAATACAGATTTGACCAGTTTGAATTGTTCACTTCTCCTCTTTTTTTCTCTTTTCCTGAGTTCCTTTGAGCCCGTTTCTGCTTCAGGTGATGCAAGTAGCCTGTTCTCTAGAAGTCCTCTTGACTGTCTTGTCCTGGATGAGAATGTGGACCCATTGTTGGAGCTCATCATAGGGCCACTGCATTTACCCTGATCCAGTAAACTCTATTATCAGGACTTACAACATTGTCACCTCCTTCCGTGTGGAAACCAAACAGTTTCTGTTAACTGAAGCTTAACAGTTTCATGGGGTCAATGGAACACACTCAGTACACTGTACTATGGAAGTTTACATTCACAGAAAAGCATAAACAAGACACACACAACGTAAGTTTCTTGGAAAAATCAAAAATGTCATGTCATCATTAACATTCTCAGTAGTAAATTGTGAGGGTGCCACTGTAACTCCTCTATATAGCGATTTGGCTACTTGTTCAAACGTTTGTGCAAGAGAAGTCAGTGGATATTAAAAACACAGTGGGGTATCATAGCATCACACATAGTGCACTACACAGGGTGTCTTTTTCACCTCGTGCACTTCAGGAACATGCTCACACCGGACACATTGTTTTTATAAAAAGCTGTCTGTCTAGACATCAATCAATAGTTTGGACTTGCATCAAAGAACACAATGTGCTCCTGTGAATGGTTCGGGGCTGTATCTATAATATTGTTACAGAATAATAACAACTCCTGTTCAGGCAGTAATCTTGTTTTCAAAAAATATACTTTAAACACCATAAGGCTTACTTTCAGTCATCTACAATCAACGCACCAAACAAGTCTCACAACGAATTGCACCCACAGAGGCTGTGTATAGCTTGATCATGAATAAAACATGTAGATGTAATTATTACACTTATCACACTACACAAATTTGTATAAAGTAAAACATCTTCGTGCCTAAAACATCTTCGTCCTAGTACTCATTTTCCAACTACCATGCCAACAGCAAGATAGGTTTGCGTCTCTGCTGTGGCTCCGAGCATGTGGCTTGCAGCATGGCTTTTAAACATTTTACGACTTTACAAAACGCTGCAAACCACGAGGGCAGCGAAATCAAATGTCATTTAGGCAACGAAAAACGCACCAAATGTGAAAACACGCGTGCGTAAAAGTTCTTTACCTTGTAGATCCTGCGTAATCGCATGAAGGAGAGATCCAAATCCGTGACAACCTTTCTCTACATAAAACAAAAATAAAAACACAAACTTAAGTTGGAGGTCATTCTTACAGAGCAGTAGTCAGAGCGAAGACTTGGCGATTGGAAGGGAAGAATTTGAAGGTTTCAGGTTGCTTCATTTAGCGCGTTTTAGTTGGAGGAGGGGGCACAAGCGCGCGGCCCCGCCCGTGCCACTCATTGAGCAATAGTCCATTGGCCTGGAGCTGTTCTTAGCGACGCCTTAAGTCACAAGAGGGCCCTCAGATGAACCATAAGTCACCGTAATGTTCCCTCTTTATTATGTAAGGAACTTTTCAGAACTGGAAACTAAGTAACTAGATTTACTTCATCCATTGTTGCCCTTTCCTTATATTAGCGCAATGACCTATGTAAGGGTGTTTACTAGCAAACTATAAATCGATCTGAAACGGCATGGTAATTAAATAACTACAGCAATGCATTCATTCAAAATCTGATTTTATTCACAAACAAATAAAACACTAAGGAAATGTACACACACAAAGGGGCAGTCAGTCTTAATGGGCAGGCAGTGGGTCACCCAATTGAGCCAAAATAGTTTGTTTTTTACCTTGTCCAAACAAACTGAACTGGAAAGTGTTTAATAATGTTGCCAGCATAATGTAACATGTAATTCTACAGAGCTGGCAGACAAGGCCTCTTTTCATCAACATTGGTTTTGTTTTGGTAAAATATACACTATTCACAGTATTTACAACCAAATATGTTTTAAGAGCTTTTTAGACATCAACAAGTGTGCTTAAGTTTAGTGTACAATTAACCTCTCACTCCCAAAGCTGCTTGATTTCTTTTACTCCTTGCTCTGTTGCAACATGAAGAATATGGTCCAAGGCATTTATTTGGCTCAACATCTTCACCACTTTGATGTGCTCTCTAGTGAGAAATATAAATAAAATACATTAAAACAATACAGTGTAGCATTTTTGGATGCATTTTCTCATTTTGTACATACTTGGCAGTGCGTCGCTCTATATCAGAAACCCCCAAACTGCTGCGATAAAATGTGTTGGCCAAGTGGGCAAGGTAACGTGACAAGGGCTCAAGCTGAGGCAACGTCTGCTGGCTCTTCAACACCACAAACCACTGTTTCGGCAATAACTCCAGCACCTAAATAAACATTTTATACAGTAATTAATTGATAAACTACCTCCGGTTCACCCCTGTAGAGATGTTATTTCTTTTCCTGGAATGTTTCACAGTATAGCATTACTCTAATCTATCACTGTGCAAACAAGGAGATGATGCCGGTAAAATCTGTGTAGAGGTGAGTCTGCTCACAGTAAGAATGCATTTATTAAGGTATTTGAGCCATTAAAACAGAATAAACTGAAATAACTGAATAAATAAAAGAGAGACACAGTATGGCATTTAAATTTGTCTGCCAAAGCATGTGTGTTACTACACATGGAGTAGATTTATGGAATAGTTTAGATGGCTAGATTAGATTAGACTAGATTAGATCAAAGCTTGTACTAACTTGGTGCACTTCAAAAAACAATATAAAAAAATTTAATCTTACAGAAATACCTAGAAGACTAGATCCATTGTCTTCACAAGTAAACCACAACTATTAACTAAACACATGCTTTTCTTTAACATTACCTTTTATTTTGTATGATCATGAACGACAATAATGTTCACATAGGTACAAAAGTTTATTAGTTTATATGACCATAAACGGAAAAACAAACAAAAACTGGCAGCTAAGAAAAAAAGTGAATGAGGATTTAAAAATGTCTAACACTGTAGAGGTCTTAAAACAAAACAAAAAAATAGTATAAAGCATTATGTTTTGAAAGATGTAGAGCTCTGGAATGAATTATTTGTGCATTAAATTTAGTTTGCTTTGTTTTGTTTTGTAGTGCTGCAAAATGACCAAATAAACTATGGTACTACTACTGTGGAACATTCAAGGCAAACAAAAACATCTCCTTGTATATCAGATCCCCCACAAGAAGTGTTATAGAGTGCACTTTTAAAATTAAATATTTGGTGAATAAGTGAAATAAAATCAAAGACTCAAGACTAAAAGAGAGGAAAAACTAGAGTAAAGACATAATGTACTCAAATCTGTAGGAACATTCTGGCTTTTGGAGCATGTAATGACAAGACGTTGTAGTGCGCTTGATGCATGAAATTGAAACCATATATGACCCTAAGCTACATCTGCCCTTAGAATGGTTATATAATTTTACTTAACTGATTTGTTATTAACAGCACAGTTATATCTAGTCTAGAATGATGCCTTTTACCTTCTGGCACTTGAGGATGTTGTCCTCTGTAGAGTCGGAGGTCTGCAGCGCAGACACAATGTATCTGTTTAATATGCTGTCCAGAGCCATATCCTTCAGAGTTGAGGTTGACAGGATGCCCTCCCACAGTAGGATGTTCCCTAATAACTAAGAACAAAGACAGGAACATCTTAAAATGACTATTTATGCATTTCATTCTAGATACATTGACAGAAATGGGATTTTGAAATTGCGAATGTGTACACAATCGTGAGAAAAATAAAGACATAAGTGTAGCTTACCTTTATACATGACCAGAACTGTCTCTGGTAAAACAGATAGGGGCTGCCATTCTTGTTGTCCATTATGCTAAAATAAACAATAAGCACAATGAGAATAGGGGGATAGATGATTACAATTAAGATTTAGAAAAAAAAGTCATACTTTTTGGGATATAAGGGTAAAAAGAGATCTTCATCTATAGATCTTCTGTTACGTAAAACAACTGCCTTTAACAGTTCCTGCACAAAGAAACAAATAATTGGCTCAGGTTTAAAATAAATGTAATTAAATACTAACAAAAGTAATTACCTGTGTGTATTTGTTCTCTCCATGCAAGACCGTGGGGTATTCCTTCATCAGTCTCCCGATAAAGCTCACCAGTCTTGCAGTCTGACTTCTGGACATAGGATCCCACACCTGCTCCACTAACACTAGCACATGTAAAACAACAAATTTAACAAAACATTATTTTCAGTGTCCACATTTTTAAATAGGCCACTACCTGTGAGTTTGGAGAGGATAACCTTCTCGACGAGGGCAGGCAGCAGACCAATGTCTGCGTCTTCTTTCTTTAACATGCTGTGCTCTTCAAAGCCATAAAATAAAAGCGACTCGAACCAGAGCATGTATTCAAAGTTTGCACACTCAGCCTAGAAAGTTTTAAAACATAAAATGTTTGTTTTGGTTGATAAATAGTTCAGTTACATGAATTGGCCAAATATGCTTTACCTCAAGTGGGTTCCATGTAATCAGTTGTAGGCGAACTAAAGGGTTAAACAACTTGGGTAGACAAAGGCCTATATACGCCTCTCTGTAGCAATCTGCGTACACTCTTCTCCACACTTCAAAACGGGATTTAATGCAGTCTAGAGAATGAAAGTCTTCCAATACATCTTCAAAGATTTTCTTACAATCTTTTGTAATGCGATCTACAGGACATAAGGCTCAAGTTAGTGTATATAAGTGGTGTATATTTGTTTGAATGACCAAGATTTTATATTACCTTTCTCCATACTGAAGCTGGTGATGTCAGTGGTGGTCTCCTCGTCATCAGAAGACAAGCCCTCTTTGTGGTCCGCCCTCTTTCCATTCTGCTCCCTCGCCTGTCGCCGCCGAGTTCTGAGCCAAAGAACAGCAATTAAATAATTTCTATAATACATCAGTGCAATAAAAAAAAAAAAAATTATTTAGAGTCCATTATAATCCACAAGCAAACATACCTTCGGGCCTCTCTTTCAGCTATCCTCCTTTGACGACTGTGCTCTTGCAGTACAGCACGATCCCTGCCCAGATTAGGAGCCACGACAGCTTTACCTGAAACAAACAGGGACTATGTGAGGACTAATTAGAGGAAGAATGAATTCTTTGCATTATGTTTACTTGACAGATTAAAATGTATATTAAATTAAACAAAGTTTACTGCAAAAGTAATTTATTTAAATGCATTTTTTGTATGTTTATGAATAGCATTTTCGTCACTTACCTGTCTTCATTTTCATATGCTACATAGTCAAAGCCACAACGGACAAATCACTATTTATGGTTGTGACATCTTTACTTAATGGCTCACTGCTCACTGTAAATCAGCTTGATTTACAATTATCCTGCTGACTGTAGCACTCCACCATAAAAAGGAGTAGCTCAAGTAGCCTCTATAATGTATTTTTCATATTCTCAACACTCACCCACTGAATGACAAGCAGGGCTGTCTTTATCAAGACCAAGCACACTCGAAAGAAACATGACGGGGGAAATGGAAATGATATTACTCACACTCACACACACACACACACACACAGAACTAACAAGGCTGTTCAAATAAATCTTAAAAACCTTCAAGATGGACTGACTTGAAAGGCTTGCAAACTCCGCCGATTCATCTTTAATATCATCCTGTCTTCTCTGGACAAGTCGAGATGCCCGTTGCCTTAGTAACTGGTGCATGGCAGCCTCCAGCTCCAGGACGGCCGGTACCTGAAAGATATGATGCGTTCTGTGATCTCTGACCAAAACAACAGTGGGGCTCCCAAACACCACAGCTGTTGCGCTGAAGGGAAATAAGCAGTCAAAAAACAAACAAAAAAAAAGAACTGCAGCCAATCCAGTTCTGTCCTGTGAAACTCAAGTAATTTACACAACATTCCAAATGGCACGGGTATAATATAAAGCCAACAGTTTCATAATATGACACTTACAAGGGTTTGCTCCACGTTAACACATGCCATGCACTTTCTGTTAAGTACAGCTGCACTGCCTCCTGAGAGAAACTTTTAACAAAGTTCTAGTGTTTTCACATATTAGCTCTGTTCAACTCTGCCGCTATCATTGTGCTGTGGATAAATGAGGCATTAGTATGATAAAAGAACTACATGGAGTTGTCCCATTTTTACTGCTGTAGGATCAACAAGTAACTATTTATTACATTTTTGTAATTGCTCAGTTTAGTTGGTCTGATTCTGCTTCTGATGACAGATTGAAGTCAGAATTTCTTAATTATATGCCAAGTCTTTTGAAAGTATTTTATTAAATTTTATGTCATTAACCACATTTGTGTGTGGGTGGTACTACCATCTAGAAACAGATCACACTGTGTAAAACAGAAACCTTTAAATAATACGGCACACAGTTTCTCCCTTACCTTTTCACTGAAACACTCAAGCAAGTCTCGAACATACCCTCGCATCTCTTGCAAGAATTTATATTGATCTGCTTTGTCATTTGAAGTGTCCTCCATGTCATGTATGGCACTCTCTGATGAGGACAGGTCCTCCTTGATTTGTTTGTAGCGGCTGCGGTTTGCATCGTGGCTTGCATGCATTTGGCTGAGCCTAAAGACACACAACATACAGGGAGAAGAAGCAAAAGAAACTTGTGACAAGATCTGTTAAAGCCCTCAACAAATAGAAGAACATTGTTGGTATCATATAATGAAAATCATTTTGTCAACTAAGTACAAGTCTTAGAGGAGACAATTATTAATAATAATACTAATCATGTATAACCCCTCAGTATCACAGCTGATATGCATCTGCCTCTTAGATTTTCAAAGAGCAATGTTGAGTCTTGGACTGACAGGGGACGTTGTTGCAGCCTTTACTGGACCTACCTTTCCTGCAGGCGTTTCTTTACCATATCAATGGATACAGGAGTGTGGTCAGCACTTGGGACTCCATAGTGCATGGTGCCATTATCAGTCCTGATAACTGCTTTTCCAGGCTGAGCAGGCTGAGCAGGCTGCGGGGTTGCAGTACTATATGTAAAGGACATGTTGTAGGATGCACCATAGGGCTGGCCCTCATATGCACTCGGGTAATACACCGTGCTGTCCTCTGGTTGAGCTGTTTGAACCTAAAACGAACCAAGAGAAATAAAATTGGCAAACCACAACTCAACTAATGTGGTATTCAGGTTTATCTGGTGAGGCTTACCTGAGGTATGCTGATTCCTTTCCTAATCTGTTCTTGCTCCCAACGGCTGACCTCTTCATCCTGACCTGTATCTAGCGCTTCATCATCGCTGCCTTCAATTCCTGCAAAAACATAGTATGGAGATTTAGTTTAATTGAAAATTTGACAATTTAGCATCTGTAAAAGTTAGTATTGTACCAATCTCTTCAGCGATTTTTTGTCGTTGAGTTTTATTCTTGACTCCACTGAAGCGGATCCTCTTTTCTTCATCATCATCGCTAGCTTGGTCCTCCTCACGAACTAACCGCTTGGAAACTTCTGGTTCTACTGGGGGTGCCTCAACACCTAGCTCTCGAGCCATTTGACGACGTTTTCTTGCAGCGTGAATAAAAGCAGCATCAGGTATTTCCCCTGCACAAAAAATAACAATAGTAACTTTTTGCTTCATCATTTTTGAAAAACACAGTGGCTAATTGCATACCAGGCCTCAGTGTGCTGAGTGTAGACAGTGTATTAAATGTTCCTGCAGTGCTGCTTCTTGGACCACTCTTCACATCATCCTCTACATCATCAGCACTGTCCACCTCCATCTCCTCCTCGCCCTGGTCACTCTCAGGTCGGCTGGAAACCTCCTCTTTGATGACTGCCACAGGATGAGCTTCTGATAAGGTTGGAAATGTATAATACGTGAATTGATCATTTAATTAGCTAATGCATAAACAACAAAATTATCCATACCTGATTTAATCTCATGTTTCACAGAGACAGTTTTCTGCAAGTCTTCCTTGTATTCCCTTTTAAGCTGCTTTACAATTTTCTTGCTGTGATTGGATTTCTTAACTCTAAACACCTCCGATCCTTCTGTTTGCACACAGGGGAGACAGGACAGAAGTAGAACATGAGCAAAGTTTCGAGAAATGGTGTTCATATTCCAAGTAAACTTTTAACGAATCTATGTAATTCAATTGAGCTGTCATATAACTAGATCATGCTGTAGATAGCATACTCTGCTAACAAGCTAACCAGCCTAACAACACTGCCGGTGCCGTACCTTCTTCGTCCTCAAAGCTCAACACGCTGACAGCAGTGGGTCCCTGGCTGAGGGTCGTGTCTTTGCTCTTCTTTTCCCTCTTCACGGGCTTGATGCTGCTGCTGCTGCTGCTACTGAACAGGAACCCGTTGCTCTGGCTGACCTCGGCGGCGTTGGATGTGCCCATGAACGGGATCTCCGCCACAGGCCCAAACATGGTCGGTGCCAGGAGAGGCTGATCCTTGCTCTCTTCCAAATCCTCGTCGTCCGATTCATTTCTGCGCCGCAGGTTAGCTCGCTTCGCCCTTTTAAACATTTTTGCTCTGTATCTGTTGCAGGAGTGAATGCAGTATGTTGACGTTATTAGCATACGTTGAAACTATCCTCATTTTACCCGGTCCGCCATTTTCCTCGACCTCCTGTTTCTTCTGTCCAATTAGAGGCATGTCCAAGCCTTCAGCGGCGACGTACCGCCATCACGCGGTTATACATGGCAATGCCGCTTTACTGAGGGTTCAATTTAAGCCCTGCATGCCTATGTTTAGAGCAGCACCATACAAATCAAGACAAGGTTGTCTATTTGGTGATATTGTATTGTCAGGAGTCTCACAATAATATCACGAACTGTCACAATACATTGAATCACATGCTCCTTTGCTTAAATGTTATATGTTTTGTTAGAGCAGCTTAAACTGCTTAAGCAACTACATAAATATGGTGCCCAGATATCGCTATTTACCCAGGACAGTCCCGCTTTTGAGCGCTGTGTCCCCTGTCCCAGTAGATTTGTCCAAAACCACTGATTTGTTTTTTACAAGAAATGCGCCCATATTTTTGACCAATTAGATATCTGCCAACAGTAAAGAGAGGCATACATTGTCATTACATTTGTAGAGAATTGAATACATTTGTTTAGAATTGAATATGTTTTAAATACAGAAAAGCATGCTTAAAAATGACCAAAATACAAAGAAAATGTACTCAGTATAAATTATATCTCTCTGCCTCACAGACAGAAGTCTCTCAGATTATACTGACTCACATGTTAGTTGTGAATAAGTCATGAATGGGCCAACCAAGTGCATTAGAATTTACCTTAAGCGCACACTTGTTTCACAATTGTATTATTACAAACCACCCCTAACCGGGGGTGTCCCAGTTTTTCATTTTAAAAAATCTTGTCACCCTTTACATAAACCATGATCCTTTCTTCTGTTTCAGTGTAGACAGCATTAGTTCTTTGGATCATGACAGTAATGATTCGCACCAAAGTCTTTGTCATGGGTTAGTCTGTAGTAGCAGCAAAAAGCCGTTGAATAGCTCTGGAACTAGTGCCTGCAGTGCACACAGCTCTTCGTCTTAACACACACACTGCCTCTGTGGTTGTGGGATGCCCCTTTTATAGTATGAGGTTTCTCCCCCAAATCAATTAACAAAGAAAATGCCAATAGAAACTGAAACATTCCCTCTTTAATACAGTACCATAAACAAAATAGTACCATAAACAAAAATGTCCTAGTAATAGGCTCTAAAAATGACATTACAAAAACAGCAAGTCACATGACTCACGATGTCATACACTCCCTACATGTGACATAACATAATATGGAAGATCGCTTTACTCGGGTTGGCTACATAGAGCTATAATAAATAGAACAATGGAAATGGTGAGAAAAGTGTTTGAGCTGCAATTAAGTGTGCACCCCTGACTGTTGTGATGGCTATGTGAGGAAAACACAAGAACAGTTTTTTTCTGAATGTCCATTAGCTCAGCAAACCCTGTCACTGTCCTTTAGTAACATATCTATTGGTGAAAGTGCTCCTTTGATATCTATAGAACAGAGGCAGTGCTACCATTAGGAAAAAGTAGGCAGCTGCCTAGGGCCCCCAGACCTAGAGGGGCCTCCAACCAATTGCTGATGCCTCAGCAATTTGTTTTTCTCTTAATATGACATTAAATTAGAGTAGTTTACTTTTAAACAATAATGATAAGAAAAAAAAATAATAATATGAAATGGATGTAAACAAAAATGTAATTGTACTAGCAAAAAAATAAAACTACTTTTAGTTCTGGTTATCTAGTAGGCTACTGAACTAATAAGACAAGTTTCCAGTCCACCATAATTCAAATAGAAAAGATGTACGAGTCAGTACAAGAACAATGGGGAAAAACAGATAATACGTTTTTTTTTTTGTTTTTTTTATAAAAATGGTGCATTATAGTGAGGGCCCCAAACTCAAGTATGCTTAGGGCCCTCAAATTGCTAACTCCACCACTGCTATAAAATCCACAATGGAAGAACTGTCAATCTCCTACCGCAGCCACAGATCCACGACCACAACCACAGATCCACGACCACAACCACAGATCCATGACCACAACCATAGATCCATGACCACAGCCTTGGTGATGAGCTTGTAGGTGTGGAGAAAGGACCACGTGGTGTTCTAAGTGCCATCCTTTGTGTTGCGCTCCCTAGGTAGGCTTTCTGGGTAGACTCACCTTCCATGTTTCAGTGGGTAGTTCAGGGTCCAGAACCTTCTCCCAACTTCTCCCGGGGGAATAACACCTGCAAAACAGGCCATGAAGAAAATAATTTTAGTCCTTTAATAGAAATAAAACTACGGTACTCTAAATGAAAACGGAGTCCTCTTACATGGCCACGTGACTTAGCAGAAACTCAAAATGGCGGTGTCTCTTATGTCCACACCACATAGCGTTACTAACAATTTAGCATGTTTCCATATGAAATACACCCAAAATACATACGGCAAGTTTAAATTGGTTTTAATTACCTTGTTAATCACAGTAAAGGGCACCTTACAAAATGGGCAAAATATAACATAAAACTCACCAAAAGTCTCCTCATAATGGCTTTAACTCCTCCAGTCTGTCAACACAGCAGGTTAGCTGCTCTGCTCTAACAGGCCTCGCTCTCTGCTATGCAGCACAAAAAAGGTTTACAGTATTATTTTAAATAAAAATAAATAAAAGCCATGTATTAGTTTTGCAAATAATATTTATATTTATCTGTTTTAATAATATTTTTAATTAACTTATTATAGCACTTATTAACCCTTTTTCTATCATGAAATGCTTTGTTATTACTGAGTCTATTTGTAACAGGGGTTACAGTAGCATTCTGGTAAAATCTCCAAAATATCGCAATAAATATTATACCTTGAGATGCATATCATGATAATATTGTTCTATGAGATTTAAATATCATTACATCCCTACTTTAATGGATTTTAAATGGATTCTAGCCTGCACTTTATCATCTCTTTCTTTCTTTCTTTTTTTTTTAGGAGCATGTCTTAAACATATGGAAGAATAGCCTAAAAGATCCATGCAGCAGTGTGTAGCATGTGGTGTGTAGCCTGCATATAGTGTTAACATTAAATTGTCAGCTCAGAGTGATGTGGTATGGCTAATTAAAATTATGATCACCCACTGCCATTAACTGTAATTGGAAATTAATATCTCTATTAGTGTCTTGCATCGTAGTCACTGAGCTTGTCTGGTTATGAAGGATGGATGGTCCGACATTCAGTGTAGACCAGACCAGATATCTATAATATTAGGCACAGAATAACTCACAAGAAAGACTGTTATGATTATTATAGTCCATTCTACTAAGAAAGGCATTAATATAAATTAGATATAATTTGTGTACTAAGTTTGATACTCGGCTTAATAACTATTTAATAGGCCTTAGGTACAGGTCCTATAGTAGCCTTCTATTTGACTTACAACTTAGATCTGTAAAGACACCACGACATCTTTAAGATCCTTGAGCTTAAACAGTGAAGAACAGTGAAACTCAACAATCTGCCACTTGGGGGCACTATTGCCATTCAAACTGAACGCTCGTGCCCATATGGTCTATGGTCGTGCCTTGATTTGCGGTCTAAGTATGCTCTGCTTTACTCATGTATGCTAATGAAATACAATGACATTTCCTGATCCGCTGAATGTATCTGAAACAAGCCAACATGAATATAGATGACATCAGTGCTATTCAAAGGTTCACAGACCTCATCAAATCCACTAACAGACAATACAAATTTGAATATTAAAAGACTAAAATTGATACAATATTTATAACTAAATAAATACTGTAAAAATGTTTATTTAATTTATTTTTTATGAAACATCTCACCCATGGCACGTGCATACCCCAACTGTGCTTTAGGCGAGTTACACCCAACAGCCAGTGTGACTGACAGTCCAGAGATTATTATCACAGTCACTGCTGATGAGAGGCAGTTGTCTCGTTCAATTATCCAGTATAGAAAATGCTACTACTAATAAAAAATGTCCTCTGCGTTTTACTCATCCTTCAGTCTGGAGCAGTGGGCGAACACAGAGCAGCCCCTGCGAACTTCTCTGTATGTGTTGTGTATTTGTCACTTCACTTTTTGACTTTGAAATGGTAACTTTGTTTAGTTTACCATGCTAATTTCACACTCTTTCAATTGAATATATTTTCTGGAGTTGTTTTCCTCTGCTGAGTTTTTGCTGTAAAAAGCATAACAGGAAGAAAGTTGTGTGTTAGCAAGTGCCTGAAAGTGTAGTGTCAGCACACCGGTAGCATCACCTTTCCTTTCCGCCTCTCATCCTCTCATCTCTCCGTCAGGGAAACTTCAAAGACTAATCATCCACAGTTCACCTTATAGCTACACATCCTGCCACAAAGTCATGAAACACTGCCAGGAGCTAACACACTGTACTTCACTGTATGTTTACTAAGTAATAGTCAAAAGTACTGTGTTGGAATTGCTACTTCCAGTGAAGTAATTATGACTGGTACTAGAACTATTATAGTGCTAACAGATCCAAGTGCAACCATCCTACTATCTCTGTTACTGTTTATTGCTGTTCTTGTATTATTGCCTCTTTGCAAAACTTTGACTGATTTCAAGTCTTTCAACTCTTCCACTGAAAATTTTAATGCAATCTCTTTTGTTTCGCTGCTTTAAATCTTGTACGAAGAAGGGCAATAACGTCTTTCCCCTTGATAAAATTCACCAAATATTCTTTTTGTTACAGCTTTAAATCCTCGATCTCAGTAATCGTTGCCAACACAGAATGTATGGCTCTTCGCTGATTGGCTGGTGCCCGGACTTGCACTTTCAGCTAGTGTATTTTAATTCCTGACCTAGTCGCTGGAGAGAAATTAAATTGCATGGAGGCACTAGGTGACGCCAGCCTGCCTACTGTTGTGGATACACCACTTGCCTTTTAATCCTAGGGTACCTAAGGTTCAAGGCCTGACTCCATATTGAAATCATCACTATGCTTATAGTCACTTCTGTTTCTTCATATGCTTCTACATCTATGATATCTAAACATTTACAGCCACTGCATTTATTACAATTAAACCACTGTTATTTTTGCTGCCATAACTATACAGCTGCTACTTACAATAAAGTGACTA